CCAGGTAATATCTGTCTCGCGGAATCGTCATTATCTGCCCTCACGACCTCAGTCTTCTAACTCCCAAACACCTCGTGGGAACTATCGTGCTCCGAAACCAGACTTAGGAAGTCTGTTTGAAGAAAAACAAGTTGTTTTTTTTCATCAAATTTCAGAGATTGTTCATATTGTTTTGATTCCCTTCGAACTATTTCTTGTTAAGGATTGTTCTTTAACAACTTATAAATAGTATCAGAGCCGGCCATGAGATTTGCAAGGCTAGAAGCAACAAAAACAATTGTCCCTTTATACGCAAAAAATGTTTAACCATGATCGTCATTAAAAATTGTCTCCTTATTCGCAAAAAATGTTTAACCATGATCCATGGAATCGTCATTATCAAAACGATAAAACAGAAAAAAAAAATAAACGAGTAATGGTGTAAGAGCATGAATAATGGTAGCCATGGCCAAGATACTCTCTGAGTCTCTAATAAATAGTATTTTAATATAACAAAATTATGATTCATATTTAATTAACTAAAAAATACACTGGACCAATTAGATGATATCAAATGGCTCTAGAGTTTCCTTAAAGTTAAGAAACGGTTCCGACACAAGAACCCGTTTCTGTTCTCTCTCATCCATTTTCAATATATTTTATCTTTTAAATACTAAGAAAGCTATAAAAAGCTCAAAGATAAAAGATGTTCTAAGTTCGAGACACCTCTAAAATTTTTATTTTTTCATATTTTGTTTTTAAATCAAAATAATATAATACAGAAAAAGGAAACGGAGTAGTAACTACTACTCATTACCAACGGTAGAAAAAATAAAATCGACAACTTTTTTGCTATTTCTAGTCTTATGAGTCTTAGAACATCATTATCCATGATATTGAATGAGGTTCTAAAAAATAAAAATAAAATAATTTTTTTATAAAAAATAAAATTGATAGAAAAAGAAATTAGTATATATAAATATACAAAATTCTATAAAATACTAATTTATTATGTTTGATAAATTTTTAAACGTATATTACAATCCGTTAAAACAAACTGAAACAGAAAATCATATATACTACCATCCAAAAAAACATAGAATGATAAAAAAAATATATATAAAAGCATGGTTTTTTCAGACCCAGTTGGAGCAAACGCGAAGCATTCACGACCCTGGGATTAAACACGTAAACAAGTATATCAATAGACGAAAGGTCCCGGAAAAATTCATTCCAACGAGGATTTCATATTACACAAACATCAAAACCACTAATCCTATGAGCATAATAAGTCAAAATACTATAAGAATAAAATCCAATTCCACGCACCTTGATGACAACTCTGCAAAGCTTTTAAGTGGGGGTGGAATATTGTTACGGGAAACATGAATGTTGTACTGTTTCCCCGACAAAGCATCTTGCTGCCATTGTGAAGAAGTAAATCAAGACATGTATCGATCACTCTTTGCCTTTGATGAAACAGAGAATGAATATTAAACAACTCCATACCTCTTCTTAGAAGACACAACTTTCTTCTCTTCTTCAGGGTCCTCTTCTTCCTCAGAGAAGTTCACTTTCTTATTGGAATCATTATTCTCAGTACAATTCTAACACAACAATGAYAATTTTAAAARAAGAACAAKGAGAGAGCAAACTTAGKTGATTTAAACAACACTAACACGACCAGAACTCAACAATGYTTATCTTKTGTCTGATACCTTKTYGTGTACCTATAKATTAACATTCACCAACTTTCTTCACAATACTATCTTGAATGTTCTTAGCTATATAGTTCAAAGCAAACCACTACTCAACAAGGAAATACCAAAGCTTGGGAATACAAACATGGCAGGAAGAGGCTAACCTTTAGCCATCTTCCTAACCTTTAGCCAAAGTTGCATAGCAACGTGTGGGAAGAGTAGTAACCGGCGAGACAACATATGTGATACTAGAAGCAAGACATTCTTCTCGAATCCTATTTGCTAAAATGAATGTTTTGTAAGACATGCTCATAAAAGGTAAATCTTTATATTCAAGATTATGCAGCTGTGACAACACAACATGCAAAACAAATCAGCTCTGATCACTATCATATTTGCTCTAAAGCTCATGAAGCTCTAATTCCAAATCATCAACAATTGATCGCAAACTAATCACTACACCAATGTATATCATCATAGCATCATCATAAGCACAAATTCAACAAGCTAATGGGTGAATTTTAAGCACAGTGAGCCAAAATCAAGTGTGGTTGATCCAAATTCATCAAATCTGAATCAACGATACAAGCAAAAGAGGCGAGAGCAGCGAACATGGGCTTGATCGGCGAGATGAACGACACGCCGACCAACGGGAAGAGGAGACTCGTAGGTGAAAGAGTGATTGATTGACTCCGATCTCATATAACGAGAGAGAACACGACCATCGGCGGTGAAACCGGTGATTATAACGCCTATATGGTCATTGACTTTGAAGATCTTCCTCTGATGTGAAGAGAGCTCCGATTGGACTTTGTTAACACAAGCGAGTACGACATGGTTGCGAGATCTGAGACCAATTGCAGCAGAGCCTTGCTTCACTGCTTCCATGGCGTATGCGACCTGTAGGGCTCCATGTCGTAACATCTGTGTCGACCTGTAGCCAACGGCAACATGCACGAGGAAGATCACGGTGAAGAACAGCGTCGATTCGCCGGCTCAAGCGCCATGAATCGCCTCAGAGAAGAAGAAACCAGAGAGAAAAAAATTTCCTGACCAAATAATTTTTTTCTCGCTTGTTTGGGCAAAAAAAAAAGTGCCGATCCAATGTGTGCTCGACACGTGTCCCGCTGAGACGACTCAACCGACTCAGCAGGCTGAGACGAATCAAGCCCACAAATCACTCAGCCCAATTTTTTTAATCGATTTTAATGACTGATACCCACTAAAATTCATGGATAATGATGCTCTTAGAGCCGGCTCTGCGCCTAGTCTACTAGCTACTACTTTGTTATTACGCTTAACTCTTTTATATATACAGAAGATGTTTTCATATTTTTATCCAAATTTTAGGTTACTGTAAAGATAATCGTGCAAATTCTCTTCACAAACATTACTAGAACATATTATTCGAAGTAGAAAAAATGCAAACAATTTTATTATCTCTCGTGTTTGTGTACATTGTGGATCTAACGATGAGACATTAACTTTAAGATATGACAATGGTTTTTTATTTTCAGTCACGTATAATCCATCATTATTACTAGTAACAGTAAAAACGATATATTTGACCTACATATACATTTGAAATTGAAGAGAGTGTTATAAAACGTGTAAAAGTTAAAACATCGAAATACAAATAAGCAACGAGTATTAAATTTAAAGCTTTTAAGAAATAAAAGTGTTCGTTTTTTTTATACATTCGAGTCTCGGCACATTTTAGCACACAGCTTCTGGATAGTATCGATGATTTTTTTCTCTCGTCTAGTGTTTGGTGTTTCACCTCCAACATTTCAACCGCTAGTTGGATTATGGAACGATTTTTACATCTTCCTTTTACACATACTGAGAAATATTTCTAAAAATGTATAATGATTTGGTTATTGGATCGTACGATCCGCAAGTTAATTGAGTATTTCACAAACATATCGAAACTATTAATTGTCATGTGGGTATGTGATTATGTTTAGAAAAGCGAGCACATTTCTGTGAAGGAACAAGTTGCCGACGTTTTGCACCAAAGTCTTACTTCTCACCAATTTGAATCAATAGGAAATATGAAAAATTATATTAGCCATAGATTTTATTGCTATGGAATAAGACAAACCTTTGTGAATTATTTCATCACTGATAAAGTCTAAGCCCTTAGCGAGTTAACGTGTCCCAAGTTTCGTTATATTCTAAAAAGTCTTGGATTTTCTGTCTTAGCTTTTTTAATACCTTTTTAAATACTTTTGAAATGGTGAAGAAAAAAGAAGAAGTGATTAAATTAAATGCATCCAAAAACCGACACAACCTTTCGTATGAGGAAAATGTAGACCAAGCCCTTAACGAGTTAACGTGTCCCAACTCCCAAAGTTTCGTCACCAAACGCACATAGCTA